AGAAATGATGTTTAAGCCAACTGAGGCCAGGGGAGAATAGCCTGATTCTTTTGCCTTGGGTTTGTTTTAAGATTGTTATGCTTACTCCCACACATATGAAGAAGAAACTCCTTACACATTTGGTCTTAGAACCGAATATGGTAGTCATCCTTAAGACTATTTACAGTTAGGGAACATAATTCCATGATTGGAAGACTAAACGTTGGTCAGTTTGTTTCTTGCCCATGTTTCTTTTTCCATATCTGCCTATTTCCTGAACTACCCAACCACTTAGCCAGTGCTCAGTGGAAAGATGGCTGGATGACCAGACGGATTTCACAGAAAGGGCAGGGAAACACACACAGCTCTATCAAACGTGTCTACAAATCAGTGACCCTATGCTTTTCTACTTAGAAGTACACACTCTTAAATTAAATGGGATTTACTCTCAAGTAATTGTGCATACTAGCCTACAGATCACAATAAAGAGAACTAAATTATCCAATCCACCTAATGCTGAGGGGGGTATCTCAACATGTGCAGGAGCAGAAAACTTCCCCCCCGCAAAAAAATTATGATTTTTTTTTTTTAGTCTATGTTTCTCTCATTTCATATCAGAGCAGCGGGTTGAATAAACAGGCCAAAAGGCATTCATCCACTCAAAACACTTATTACTCCAAAATAGAATAACCCAAATGTAAAAATTAAGAAGCTTATGTATTTTGTTAAAAAATAAATATCTGGGATGACAATAACTGCCCTTATTGCTGTAGTTTCTTCTGTTAATACATGTACTTTCTTTTCCTTCACCTTACCAGCAGCTATTTATGGACATTAGAAAGACCAATTTTATCAGCTCAAGTAAGGGTTTTTGACTTTAGCAAGGTAACTGTGGAGCTTCATTGTATTGAAAGCATAAAGATGGCTTTTGAAATTCACATGACATTGGATCAGCATGCCCCTTCCATTCAAAGCTTTGTGGCAAAATTATTAACACCATTATGCAAATGAAAGAGAAATTGCTGATATTTTCTCCTGTTTCTATTGAACAACTTAATATTGAGAAGAACAGCAATTAGAACTCTTGGATCAGATCTTCTTACTTGTCTTCTTCCTCACTTCTAACTTCCTCTCCCCTTGAAAGAACAAGGCTGTTTCTGAGAGATATAATTCAACTTTGCAGTTTCCTATTAACTCTGGCCACGTATACTTTTATGTCTGAAGACCTCTTCTTTGGATTCTCTAAAATCCAAGTATCTACCTTACTTTCCAGTATTTCTCTTACACAGGATTTTTCTGGGAGCAAGGGTACATCTTTGTTGCTTAGATAGAGGCAGTCAATGCAATATAATTACAAAGAAAAAGACATCATACTGTATTTTGGAAAAGGTTGTCTCTTCAGAAT